TATATAATATACATATATATATATATATACACACACATACATGGAAATACTGAACTCTTAATAAGTGCATCTGATACATTTTAATAAAAACAAGAATTTAAAAAATTTTGTGCACAAATGTTCAGATCAAAGTATAGAATGATAGTTGAAATCTAACCTACTCCTTGAGTTTCAACTTTGCTGATCAGTCCAGCAAAAGTAAATGAGACAATACACTAGGATTATATACCTGTGACAAATTTGGAAGGTACAGAATGTGATTAAAAATACAGTGAATATTTAAATTTTTAAAATATTTCTTTTAGCAAGAGATACATTACTATTAATCTCCCTCAAAACTCCCTTCCTTTGAACACATGTATCTCATCTTTCTTGCCACTTTCTGAAGCAGTTCTAGAAGTCCTTTTTCATGGGTGGTTTCTTTTAATTGCACCCTCCTGGCTGGCTTGATGTCCTGAATTGATTCAAAACATTTACTTTTCATGGTCGTGACTTTGGGGAAGAGTCAGAAGTCACTTGGTGCCAGATCAGGTGAATAAGGTGAATGAAGACACAAACAGTAATGTTTTTATGAGCCTGCCTTTCCATTGGATGGCATCTGAGCAGCAGCATTTGCCTCAATGAAAAGACACAAAAGGATCTCCAGAACTTCTTTAGAAAGAATGTCAGAATGCATCTGTTAACACATTCAAAGGCTAGATCTCTTTATATTTGACCCTAAATTTCAAGTCTTCTCCAGAGTCCTGGCCTGGCTGCTGGGTTTCTCCATAGGAACCTGTCACTGAGATCCAGAATCCCACCTCTAGAGACAGATTACATTGTAAACAAAAGCAGGAGGTACAGGCCTCTCTGGGTGAAACAGGCTGGGGCGACAAAGGGGAAATAAGATGGGGAAGTGGTATTGGGCCCCAGGCTTGGGCAGGCTTAGACTGTGTCAGGCAGGTCCTGTTAGATCAAAGAGGCCATAATCTCACGGCCCTTCCAGTTTTAGGTGCAGACTGGGCAGTAAATCACCTAATGACCTGGACTGGGCTAAAGAGAGATTTCTGAGAAGGCACAGTTCAGAGCTATAATGAAGGTCTCTGAAATGTTCCAGAATATTAGTTTGTCAACTTTAAGATATGTGGGAGTTTCACAATTTGATGCTTTTATTCTCTTTTTATATTTCAAAATGAGGTATCACAACTTTTCACTTTACAAACTTTTGACATTATATTTTCTGGCAAAGTGCTCATTTTCAATCTTCTGCTAAATATTTTGTGATCTTATTAAGAATATACCATCAAGATCTAAAGAAAATTGGTCCCACTGAATGAAACTTTTGTTTATTAACATCATTTTAGGCAACCACGATTCTGGAGAGTTGTAAACATGATAATCATTGTGACCCTTAAATTAACTAATTTCAATTGTACTATGTATTCTATTAGGAAACAAGTACATTTTGGGAATAAAATAATTTAACAGGGTCTTAGTTACTTTCCTCTTGTTACTGAGACAAAATACTCAGCATCCAAAGTTAAAGGGGAAAGGGTTTATTTAGCTCACAGTTTGTAGAGGTTTCAGTCCATAATTGACTGGCTCCAAGGCAGAATGGCACATGGCAGAGGGGTGTCAGAGGAGAAACAGTTCATGGCGCCACAAGATAACAAAGCAGTAAGGGACCTAAAAGCGTCTTTCTGCCCCTTCTATCTTATGTAGACTGCTAGGATTAGGGCAGTGCCAAACCAATCAGTGTACTGGTTTTGTACTCATATGCCCTTAATCCCAGCATCGCACACTCTAATTCAGCTACCTATGACCACTTGAGTCTTTGTGGAGACATCTAGACCCAAACCATAACAACGGAGAAGAGATATTTTGACAAATACTTTTAAACTATGTTGTAAATATAAACATGTTTGGAAGCTATTTTGATTTGCTGTAAATATTTAATTTTTAAAATTTGATATTTATTTGTGAACTGTACCTTTGTGCCATGCTTCTGAGTCTGTGGTTTTCAAATTTGGCTGAGCCATTAATTGCAATGGGTAAATATTCAAAGAAAAAAAATCATAGCATTGACACTAGAAAATAACTAAATAGTAATTGATAAAGGAGCAACTCTTTTATATGAACATTCTGAACAAACTAAAAGTATATGATAACATATTTTAAAAAACCATTTGAAAGCAGAAAATGCATCTAAAATAGCAAATGCAGCATTCAGTAGTATTGGATGGGTGGCTTTGCTGGACCTTTTTTCCTGTCTATAAATTAGACAGGTATTATCAAGATTTCCCAGATTTGGCAAGGTATAATTGTAATGACACTTTCTGTTTTAAAGATGTAGAATTTATGTGCTCAACCAACCTTTTAATATATCATTATAATATTGTTTTTGCAAATTGTGTTTGCATGCCTTTAGTTATATCACATAGCTTTTGTAGCACCAGGTAGTGGGGCTTCCCTCAAAACCAAATATATATCAGTGAGGCCTTTGAAATTATTAAAAGCAATCATTCATGTTTTGATTTAAGCAATGAAGTATCAGTCCATTAAAGAAAAGAAAGTGGCAATAATGATGAGACAAATGTGTTTTAAGCAAGAGTAAATCTTTTAAGGGTGATTAACAGCAGTGTATCTTTTACTGAAATAACTTTTTTTTTTTTGGTACCCGGGATCAAACTCAGGACCTTGTGCTTGTGAGGCAGGCATAATGCCATTCAGCTAAATCCCCAGCCTTGTAATAACATTTTTAATTCACTATATTTTGATAGCTCCTTTTGTTTTATATTAAAAATGTGTCCAGAAATGTTTAATTGGCTTCTGAAAAATAAAGTCTGGACTCTATATATTTTTACTTACCTGTATTAGCAATTATGCTAAGTTCTTATTGAAAGGGCTAATTAAATTTCAAATTTTTTTCAAATTTCCATATTTTCCATGGAGATCATTGTGGAGCTGTATATGTGGAGATGATGACTAAATATATAGTGTGGATTAATTTGTTCTTTTCATGATTTTAGGCCATCAAAAGAAAAGATTCACAGTTGGATTTCAGGGCGGGGGTCACAACTAAAAAAATGACACATGGATGAATAAAGGGCAGTGAAAGAAACTTAAAAGAAATGGAGAAGGGAGAAAATTCTGAGAAATTAATGTTATGAGAACCTATTGAGTTTGGGTTAGGTGGAAAATATTATTTTGGTAATTTAATATAGAACCAAGCACACATAATAATGACTGGGATAAAGTTATTAGATGTTATTCTCAAAAGCTCTTTGCTGAGCTAAGAGGAAGCAATTTGAGCCACATGATAGGGAATGGAATCTTTTGTAAAGAGTTTGGAGGTGATGAAGAAAGAGAGATAAGCATATGGTTTGCAAGATAAATGGAAACTGGGGAAGTAGCATAAGCAATAGATGTATCTTGGGAATTTTAGTCTAGTTTATTTAGGAGAAAGAACCAGAAGAACTATAAAAACTGAAATTGGCAAGGTCTAACTAATACAAGCATTCATTCAAGATCATAGAAAGTTGTCACATCAAAGACTCAAATGGATAATTAATCTTAGAGACGCCTCACTTGGGAAATTGAAAATGTGGAAGGAAAGGAAAATGAAAGTATAAATAAATTCTTATTTTTCATGAAATGTAAGTGAAGGATATTTTCTGCCTCCTCAGTGGAGGAGGCAGCAGGTTAGGCAAATTAGGAAGAAGAAAGAGTCAGATAAGTGGAAAGAGTTTGGGGGTATTTGTGGGGGTTGGGATGAGAAGTCAACCAAGGAGAAACACGTTATTCCTTGATAGCTATGCACTGAGTAGTATTTATCTCAGTGTGGTGCTGTGTGTTTATAAGAGGAAAAAAAGAAAAAAGAACATTTGTTTACCTGGTGAATGTGGGTAGGAGTGATCATTAAAAAAAAAATCACTCCCCTTAAAAGGATATAAGATAAGAACCAAGAGAATGCTATACATTGGTACCTCAGTTCATGAACATTTTTTTGGTGAACAGTTGGTTCACTAACAGAAACATTGGGCAAAATTTTGTTTTTGTTTCTCAACTCTTCACCAGAGGAACATGAATGTGTCCGTCTTTTCCAGAATCATGGAACGAATTAACCGAGGCACTACTATATTTGCAGTCATTGCAAAATGAATTTAAAAATACCTAGAAGAATATTTCTTGAAGGACATAAAACTCGAACAATGCTTAAAACTTTGTCAGGAAAAGATAGGTGTTTTGGTGGAAATGGTTTTTAGTGAAAGTTTAGTGGAGAACGTGAAGTCCAGCTGGACCATGAAGAAAAGGGAAGGAAAATAAAAAGCCTTTTCAGGTGTAGATGTATAGGGAGTACATTATAGACCCAGCACTTAAATTCAATGGAATAAAAGTGTGCAAGCATCAAACTAGCTCACTTTTCTCCTGGGACAGAGTATTGTAATCAGATCACATCTAAGTCCTTTCTGCCTTTGTGACAGATTAAAAGTTTGGAATCTTCCCAGCAGATATCAAAGAGCTGCTGAATTTTTTGAGCAACATAACTAAAGTAGTTGTAGTAACATCACAACAGATGTGAAGTATAGATTGGAAAGGTAGCTCTCTACGATTGAAGCACTAAAGACCTCACAATTTTAAATACTCATCAATGCAAATTCCAGTGAGTAATGTAATTACCAAGAAAAAAAAATCTAATTTTGCATATTATCTTAGATTCATCAATTTTTCACATTTTTCTTTTCCATTATCTTTGATTTTTGTTCTTTAGCTTCTGCCCTTCCTTTGATATTTAATCTGTTATCTTTTATGTGAACTTTCTGCTTTCTCTTTAGATTTTATTCAGAGCGTAAACATGCAAACTTCAGTCTCACCATAAAGAATTTCAATAAACTCATGGCTTTTGTTATTCAGTTCCTAATGTTATAGTCCGTAATACTTGCTAAGCTTCAGTAGTTACTCATGTTAATATTGCATATCATCCTATTACATAGGCTCCACAAACTTCATTGGGTTTTCCTGGTAGTAGGATTAAGATGAGCATATTAGATTTTATGGTTGTATTTGTGAGTGTAAGATAAGGATACTAGTTTTCGTGACTGAATTTTTTACTGTTTTAGTAATTTTTCACTCAATTTTTGATTAAATATGAAAGCTTTAATATTAAGGTCAAAACTCATATATATTCGTACTTTGGGTCACTGCAATTTACATGACTGGGTCTTTTGTCACGTTTTGGATGGATGACCTGAGTCTGATATATTGGTGAGTATCTTTCTTTGAAACACCAAGTTGTTACTTTGGTTTCTGTCCAGATAAATTGTTTTTATTTAATAAATAGCCTATTTTTACCTTCTCTTACAGTGACTGAATGTCCAAAAATAATGAACATTAAAATATATTAGGTTAAATATAAAAGGAAATTAAATATAAAATGAAAATTAAATATGAAATGGAAAAACCTATGGGAATCGTTCTTAGTCCTGGAATATCGACGTATCTACATACAGCATGTTTTCAATGCTATTTGAATCTGTAATGGCCTTCCTTTGAATCTATAAAAACTAGTAACTTCCTATACTAGTTTCTAAATATCTCAAAAATATTTTAAGCTACTTAAGTATAAATTCTCAGTAATTAATGCACAATGCAAATTGTACCAAAGGCAACAAAAGTCAAAGTTGTAAACTTGGCTTTTTAATTGTGAATGTGATGTTTTATGAATTATTCATACCTGCAGTAATGTTTGAACATTGCTACTCGCAAGCTTTTTCTTCTTTTTTCTTCAGTGAAAGAGGACAATCAAACTTGGTTTCATTTTGAGAGTTCAAGAAGGGGTGAATAAAAGAATAAAAAGTCATTCTGGAAAAAATGAATTATTTGAAAGCTCAGCTGGAATAAGGTATCTTAAAATTTTGTATAGGAAATCATATCTAACTTCATAATTAACATGATATTACATAATGTATAATCTAAACAAGGCATAATGTTTCTAACAGTTTTTGAATAACCACCTTTTCCAAGCATGACAGATTAAGTGAAAACAAAGGGAATGAACAAAAAATGGGAGGGGTCCTAAATGTGTATCTTCATGGAGAAAGAGGGCAGTACTTTGGGGGAGTGCAATTTACATGAGCATCTGGGTCTTTTGTCAAGTTTTGGATGGATGACCTGAGTCTGATATATTGGTGAATAGCATTAACAAAGGTCTGGTTGTCAAAGGCTAGGAAGAAAAATGCAATTAGCCACTGCAATGAGGTGATGTCTGTGTTTGGGGGAAAAAATGATACCTAACTGGCAATAGAAAATATGGAAATGATACCATCAGCAAAAAGACCAGAGGGTTGTGTGTGAGTGTGGTATGTTTGTGTATTATACAGTCAACTAAGTGAGGTATGAAAAAAAGTAATTTCTTAGGAAATATACCTGTTCCTGAGAAATGACTGGATGAAGTCAGTAAATTTAACTCGCAACACCATAATCTCACCAACCTAACATTTGTAATACTGTTTGTAACTTTTTAAAATTAGAACTAAATAAAAGTATGCTTGAGTTTAAAAGAAGTTTGCTCTTTTGTTGGTCTCCTTTTTTTTCTTTCTCTCTCTACAAGCCATGCTGTCCAGAGTAGAGAACCATATCTAATCTCCCAATTAGGTCAGGGCCCCAGGATAATCAATCTCCTTAACAGCAGATGCCTTGTTTCAGTAAATGAATGCTTGGTTTCCAAAGCAGTTTTGTGTTGAGAGAAGAGTGCAGTTGGCATGGGTGATTAGAACTCTTTTAAACCCTATAAAAAGCTTCTGTAGATTGTTTTATGCCCACACTTTGTGAACTGAAGTAAAGGCTGTAAATCTCCTTCTTGAAGTGACCATGCTAGGGACTTTATACAGCCTGTGAGAACATCTACATGCATATAAATGGAATTATTTGAGGTCCAAATTTTTACGTTCACTTGAATTAATCTGTGATTTTGATAAGATCTAAAACGAATATGTCAGTCTTTAGTAGGTGTCACATTTATTAAGTATATTCCTTAATAACGTCACTACTAGAGTAGCATTGTTTAAACCGAAAACATGACACATTAGCACAATTCTGTTGTTTGCCTAGTTGGACTACCTTTACAATTTTCTTTTTTTTGGTACCTGGGATTGAACTCGGGTCCTTGCACTTGCAAGGCAGGCCACCGAACCACTGAGCTAAATCCCCAGCCCTACAGTTTTCATTGTTTGAACTACCTTTGAGTTAGTTTACAAATTACAAATATTTTGGTACCTGGGATTGAACTCGGGTCCTTGCACTTGCAAGGCAGGCCACCGAACCACTGAGCTAAATCCCCAGCCCTACAGTTTTCATTGTTTGAACTACCTTTGAGTTAGTTTACAAATGCCTTCATAGCTGATATCTTTTTAGTTCATATTTGTCTTATATGTAAATATGTAGTATTTCTTAAGTTTTTTGGTTTTTTTTTTTTTGAACTCAGGTCCTTGTGCTTATGAGGCAGGCACCAAAACCACTGAGCTAAATCACTAGTCCCTTATATGTAGTATTTGGAATGACCTTGAAATAAAGAAAAAATAGTTTATAAACAATGAATACTAAGCCAAAAGTATTTATTTTACTAACAATTCAACTCATTAAATCTCAGATATATTGAGAAAATAATGAAACAAGTTTCAATCTGGTATACCCTTTAAAATTGTAATGAAGGTTTCCATAAATAGTTTTAGACAATTGTTACTCAAAATCTGATTGTTGGAGCCTGTAAGTGATTCTTGGAGTAATATTTTAAACAGTTCAGGAGTACCTATTTTCTATTTTAGGAGAACAAATTACATCATTAAAGGCATCAAGTAGAAACATTTACAAGCTAGAGGAGAAGAAATATTTCACCAGATTACTCTGGAGTTTGTAATTTCAATTTTATTGACTAAATCATTGGTTCTATCAGTTTTCATCCTTTCTTAAAAGTTGTTTGAATCTGCCTAAACTATGGAACTACAGTGCAGGTTGAAAAGACATCTGAGGAAAAATTAAGAAACAAGATCTTTTAGAATTGATGCTAATTACCATTGACACAGCTTACATATCAATAAAAGTATAGGATTGCATTACATTTTAAGTGAGATTCCGTAGCTAAATTGATAGATAAGGTAAGATAATTAGATATCTTGTTTTTGTGGTACCGGGGATCAAACTTGGGTCTTTGAGCTTGCGAGGTAGGCCACGGAACCACTGATCTAAATCCCCAGCCCAAGATAATTAGATAGCTATACAAAGTTTTGAAAATACATTCTTGGTAATGAATGAACAAAAACCACTGTGATAATTCACTTCTGCTTATTCTAATGTGTAATAGTAGCTTAATATGTCCTAGTAGAATGGTTTGATATACTAACAAGTCTTAACATTTTTAATTAGAAAATAATTTGGTGTATAGGTCTGTTACTTAGCTACATTTTAGATTCAGAATTTGATTTAAATATTATAGTATGTAAGGCAGTTCCCATTTGATTTGATGAAGCTAACATTTGGTTTTTGACTTAGATTCCAGTGACTTTCAGACTCTAGAAATTTCCAAACTAAAATTCTATCTTATCATGGAGTTCTTAAAGCTAAATTTATGCATGTGTTATTTATTTCTTACATAAACAGGCATGCATTCACATGCATGCACATGTACACACACACAAGATACGAAAAAAATCTGAAAGAAACATACCAAGATATGAACAATATATTTGGGTGGATAAATTTGAGTGATTTAAAAAGTCTTTATTATAAAAACATATTACGATGTTTGTACAACTAGAGAAAAATATAGCTATTTTCATTTTAAAACAACATATATAATCCCACCATAGATGGTATATTGTTTGGCAATAATTTTTTCATGACTTCACAAATCTCTGTAAAAACATGCAAAGGAAATAGCTTGGTCTCCCTTGGTACTGCTAATTTGGCCAGGATATTGATAAGAACTACTCAGTGAAAGTTACAGTGTAATAACTGTGAAGAGTATGTTATGCTTACATCACCCTAGGAGTGGTCTAAGATAAGAAACAATAAAAGGTAAACAAATTCTATCTATCCAGGATCTTGGGATTCATTTACCCTCTTAAAAATTATTGATTACCAAAGAGCTCTTGTTTATACAACTTATAGCTGTTGGCATTTCTTACATTAGAAACTGAAACAGAATTTTAAAATATATATTTATTTACACATTCATTTAAAAATAACAATGAAACACATTCCACTGTCAGCATAGTATAGTTTTTCTGAAACAAAACAATATGTATTTATATATATGTGTAGACACACGTGATGAGAGGAATAGGAGTGTGCTACCTTTTTATAAGTGTCTTTAATGTCCAGCTTAATAGAGCTGGTTCTCTTATCTGCTCCCGCATTTAGTAGGTTGCAAGGTGGCATTTTGGTTGAAGTCTATAAAGAAAGATTGGCTTCATATGAACATGTAATTAGAAAAGAGGAATATTTTTAAAACTTTTTGAAATGATTATAGATATTCTTTAATATTACATTAATTCTCAAGTGATAGTTTTAGATTCATTTTGAAATCTGAGCCAATGTAAATAAAGTTTTATAACTTTGGAATTTAACTGTTTATCAAGGAAGATTTCTAAAATCTAAATTTTGCTTTAAAAGTATAATATTCCAAAAAATATGATAATCCAATCAACAAAACAACCCCAAACAGATTCTGAAGGGTATGGTATTTGCTTTTCCTTAAAGTATTTTCTTAAAAATTCAAGAATCACACAAATCTCTGATCCTTGTTTTTAAGCTTTTAGATAAATTGAGTTTAAGGTTTATTATTGATTATATGAACTATTTATTAAAGCCTTTGTTTTTCATCATTTTGGTTGTAACATGATATATATTAACTATGCATATATGAACAGCACAGGAAAAATGTTTCATCAATCATACTCTAAACATGTGTAATCCTTTTAAATATAAAAGAAAGTATTTTCTAAACAAAACCTTTGTTTGAGCCTGAAAACCAAAATATTGATTTGTAAAAGAAAATGTTTGTTTCAGTAGTAAATGTTTATACCCAAATCTGAAACCAAAGTACACATTTCCTTTCATGACACTTGTATGATATGTCAGACATTATTAAAAATAATTTGGACGTGCCCACATGTGGCTCCTTTCTTTGTAAACATTTGCACAAGATGTCTGGACAGTTAGCTGATTATTAAAACTCTTTAAAAATCCCTGTTTTTCAAAATTAGATCTGGTTGTTTCTGTAGCACATATCCTTTTTGAATGACAAATGAGATAATGCCATTCTTTACTCACAGGTCAAATAGTCCTTCTAGAAGATGTGGCTCTCATATTATTCGTGATTCTAAGAAAACCATACTTTGCTCTCATACTTGCCACCTTAAATGCCACCTTGGATTCCTGTCACTGCACTCATTGTGGCTTAAAATAATTTGTACAGTCAGCTAATTAATGTCTGCATATCTGACAGAGAGAGAGAGAATGAGAGAGAATCGCTAAGAGACTGACTTGAACAGAGCTAAAGAATCACTAATGGGACTATGCTGGGTGAGATTGGCATTTCCCAAAAGCATGCTGTAAGATCAGAACTTGACAAATAGTCCCCCAAAACAATAGGAAAGTGAAAAGTCAGACCAAGAAGGGAAGGAAAGCTTATTAATGATTATCAGTATAGGCAATCAGGATCAAACTAATATGCTGGAAGCTTCTGTGGGTTCCCCCCAGGAAAGGTCTGAGCCAGCTTTCTTTGCCACTCTGTGTCCAGGACCTAGCACACAGTTAAACACATGATAGCACTCTATTCTAGTTGCTGAATAGATGAATAAATGAATACTGATGAGCATTTGTATACATTAAATGTTCCAGAAA